GATATAAGCCCCCCGGATGTAAACCCATCTAATGAATAAGTACGTTCTTTTTTGCGTTTCTTTTCAACCATCAAAATTTTAAATCGAAAGTTATAGGTTAATAGGGTAATAGGGTAATAGCTCTGAATGTAATGGTATGTTTTAGCTTTAATTTGTCTCTCAAATACGTTTCCTCTCGTCATTCCGGAATATTTTTTTTATTCCGCTTATATGCCTCCCTGATATAAGCTCCTCCCGGCCCGTTTATAAGCCCTCCCAAACCCCTTATGAAGTTATTTAAGCCTTTAACGTGGGATTTAACGGTATCATGATTTATCTCCAGTATATTTGAGGTTACACTCCAGGAATACCATTTGGCCTTTACCCAGCTCGGTCTACACCTCTTTTCACGAGAACAGTTTAGTTTATTGATATCGATATCCATTACAGGCGCACCAAGCTCACAATGCGGGGAGTTGTTATTATTTTTTTTTTTAATCTTTATGCGAACGTTCAGCGTGACATATACGGCCGACATCTACTCAACAATTAGATTATGAGCTCGAGATTTCTATGAGCTGATAGTTGATTCGGCCTTCGGCCTCATCAACTATCGCCTCATAGAAATCTCGAGCTCATAATCTAATTGTTTTAGTAGAATTCTAACTTAAATCGACGCAAATAATAGTTGCCAAGTATTTTTCGACGCATTATTGAACTTTACTCTTTAACAAAATTGCAGGTATTGAATTGCCCTTGGTAAATTTCCAGTTGTTTACGCGCGCGCACCGGTTTCTCGATAATTTCAAGTTTTTAAAGTCAAGAATCCGTTCATGTCTTTCTTTTAGTCTTCTCAGGAATTTAATTATCCATGTATATCTAAACTTTCTTCCAAAACTTTGGAAAAACGATAAAAACGTCGCATTTCGTGGACTACCGACAGCTACTGCATTCTAATGGCTGATAGTATACGAGTAGCTCAGCCAATCAGATTGCAACATTTGCATTAGTATACTTGTAGAATTCTACTAATAAACAATTAGATTGAGCTCGAGATTCGAGAACGTGATAGTTGACCAGGGCGCAGCCAATCAGAGAACGGCGTTCGAGATAGAACGCTAGTAGATTTATATTAATATTTATTAGTATAATTCTATATTTTCTGATTGGCTACGCTACTCATTATCTATTCTGTGATAGATAGCGAGTACCGGTCGCTTCTTGGCCTGTAAAGAGAATTTGGATAAAGTTTTGAACGAGTGGTAGATTTATACTAAAACAATGAGATTATTGGCTCTCGATTTCCATGCGTGATAGCTGACTGGGGTTGCGCCCTCGTCAACTATCACGTTCTCAAATCTCGAGCTCAATCTAATTGTTTAGTAGATGTCGGCCGTATACGTCACGCTGAACGTTCGCATTAAGATTAAAAAAAAAAAATAATAACTCCCCGCATCGTGAGCTTGGGTCGCCTGTGTGTTGATCATTTAATAAAATTCAGATCAGTCCACGCAGTGTAAGTAGTCACATGATTTGAGGAGTATCACTGCGCTGCAGCATTTACACACTCGGGGAGGAAGCAGTATTAGAAAAGTTACATTTGCACCTCCCTGTGCAACAGGCAGTTTGGGACAGAATTAACTAGCCGTTGTACAAACGTAACCGTTGTGCAAAACAGTCCAAAATAGTAAAATGTTTTCATTGGAGCACAGCAGGATCGATATCGAATGAAAACGCCTGGCTCTTTCATTCATCTGTTTTTTTGTATTTTTTTTTTTTATCTCAAATCCTTTGTGGATAGGTGATTCAGTTACAAGG